GCCGGCAGGCCAGGGCCCAGGGAGCGCGCGCGGGGGGAGGGCACGGGAGAGCGGCGGCACCTGGAGGAGCTCGAGCACGGCCACGGGCTGCAGGACGCCGTGGTAGTGCTGCAGCAGGCGGCTCTCGGGAACGCCGGGCTTGCTCATGATGTGGTACAGCAGGGCCTCCATCATGCCCTTGCACACTGCTATGTTCAGGTTGCCGTCCACGATGCGCCACGGGCGCCCGATGAAGCAGATGCTCTCGCAGTCCCTGCGGGGCCAGGACACCAGTCAGCGCTCAGCGGGGGACGGTGGGGACAAGCCCTCCACACGTGGCCCCGGACTACAGACGAGGACCCGAAGGGCCAAGGTCACAGCACTGGGGGCCAACTACCTGCTCCTCTCTGCTCACGGCCCTCCTTCCTCCTTCCCACCTGGACAGAGTGGCCCTAATCCCAGGGCCTTGACCCTGACCCACTGTAACCACGGTCGTAGGAACCAATGACTTGCCTCTGCTCAGACCCAGCCATGACCAAGCCCACAAGGACAATGACCATATCTGCTCAGACCCACTGTGACCGTGGCTGTAGAAACCAATGACCCAGGTCTGGGCCTGGGGTTCCAGCATGACCGGTGCTTCTCCCCACACGGGCAGGAAAGGGGCTCCACCTGGGACCTGGAGCCCCTGGCTGCCTCCCCCTCTGGCCTAGTTCGCAGGTCTGTGTGGAAGCTCCACTTCTGTGTGCAGGGCAGGGGTTCCAGGCACGCTTGCCTCTGAATACAGGTTTCTGCTGGAGAAGCACGGACCGATGCCCACCACAGGGCCTAAGCCTGGGACGAGGCCCTGGACTGGCCGCTTGGCTGCCTTCAAGCCTGGGCCTGGGGAGCTGAGGGCACTGTGTGTCACCTGCAAGGCTTCCAAGAAGCCCGAGTCCCTGAAGATGGCAGCTCCTCCTGACAGAGTATTCACCCCAGTGCAGCCTTTTAATTCTGAGGGTCACAGGAGTCATGGGGGGGAAGGCAGAACGCCCTGAAGGGGAGGCTGCCCTGGGCTGGGAGTCAGGCCGGAACTCTAGGCTAATCTGGCCACACACTGGCTGTGAGCTGGGCAAGGGCTGCACCTTAGCCCTTTCTTCCCTGTCACAGAGATGAGGTAACGGGCACGAGGAGACCCAGAGAGCAGCCCAGGACGGAAGGCGCTACGGGCAGTGTGCGCACCGGCTCGCTGCTCGTCTTGTTTGAGGCACACAGGTGTCTAGTCCTTCCGGCCCTTGTCCGTTACATGCACCTGCCCACCCCCACCCAAATGCACCCACCCATTCCCAAGCACCACTGCTGGGAACCACTATGTTAGACAAACTGTCCGACATTGCGTCGCTGGGGAAGGTCTCCCCGCTACTCATGGAAATCAGGGCCCCTGCTGGGAAGCCCTGAGGACAAATGTCCTTTGTTCTGACGGCCCCCAGGCCACCTGAGACAGCATCCCACGCTCACCTTCCCTGGGCTGTTGGCGAGAGGCTGCCGGCCACAGAACTCTCGGGCAGACCTGCTGGAAGAGGAACAGGCTGTGAGGAGCTCACACAACGGGAAGCCATTCCCCCTCCCTCTGTTCTGTGCTTGGAGACGAGGCAGTGACAACAAGGACTCCATCGCTTTCCTCGTGATGCTGCCAAGGATGGAGCCGGGCCGTGGAGGTGGACACAAACCAACGGCCATGCACGGGTGTGTGCCTGTTCCCAGGCCTGAGGAACCTCCACCAGGGGGCGCCGGGGAGCCCCTTGTCGTCCATCTAGGAGCTGTGGCCACCAATGTGGTTTATAAAATCGTAAGGTAAAAACAACTCCCGAAAGACAAAATCCCCTTTAGAAACCACAGGAAAAGGCCACTGTTGATGACAGATAAAAGTACACAGAAGCAGAGGTGGTTGTTGTTGTTATGTGCCGTCGAGTCAAACCCGACTCACAGCGACCCCTCAGAGGTAGGAGGTGTGTTTCAGTAAACACGTGTCTGCCAAGCTCTACCGACACATGCCAGCCTTACAGCTTGGCTACTGTCCCCACTGCAGAATGTCGCAGGCACTGTCCTTCAAAGCTCTGCCGAGGGGTTTCTGAAGCCTCTGCCCTCTAGTGGCAACACCTGGAGACAACACCCTCTTCCCTCTCGAAGCTTACTCTGAGGAAAAGCTGATGTCAAAGGCCCCCTGTGTGCTCAGTGGTGGGTTCCCAACAAGGAGGAAGCTGAGGGCTAATGAGAGGATGGGCAGGATGGGGTGTGGGGGGCAAGGCACGGTACCTCGGGGGTCTTCACAGACTTCCACCAGCTGGCCCTGATAGCTCAGCTGTTCCCGACCTGGTGAGAGGGGCGCCGTGACATCCTCTTCGGCCTCCTGCCCAGCCGCTGCTGCTCCCAGGAGAGACTCCCTGGCCCCTGTGTTTTCAGGAGCTGCAGGCAGAGCACGGGCCCGGGTTTCCGGCCCTGCTTCTGCCCTTGGCCCAAGGCTGCGCACGTCCTGGAGCGCCGGCCTCTTTGCAGGGGGCTGCTGGGAGCTCTGGGAACTGCTCAGACTAGCCAGCTCGCTGCTGGCCCAGCTGGCATGCCTCTTGGTGCTCCGGGGGCCCTGGGGAAGTGGGGCCTGCCTTGCAAACGGGCTGCCATCACTGGAAGGGCCCTCTGGGGGTCTGGGCTGGAGGTCTTCTCTTTGAGATTCAGCATTCTCCTCTTGGCCTTTTACACGCACCGAGTGCACGAGCCAGGGCTGGGCAGAAGCCATAGTCACCAGGCGAATGGTGTTACCACCAACTTCCAGGACCTGGTGCTGCTCCAGGAGGTCCTAGGAAAAGCAGGAGACACACATAGGGACCATGTGGGACAGCTTCACGGGCGACGACTGGAGCAGTCTTCCTGCGTGATGCTTTAAAGTGTCCTGAACGAGCTCAGGTAAGCCCAGCTCGATTAGGACACACAGTGTTTGAAGCACGACGTGTGGCTTTTAGTCCTGGGTCTGCCAGGTAACCCAGGCAGTTCTTTCCCTCCCTAGGCCTCTCTGTGCTGACTTTAACACAAGTCAGACATGTGAACTTCTTGGCAAAACAGGCAGAGCCTCAAAGCTGATGGGAATTTACAACAGTCCCCTGCATGGCCAACATCATCCCACAGAACTCAGCACCCCAAGCTCTGTCAAGATGATGCGTAAAAGCTTCTCCCCCACCTGCGTATTTATGCCGTGCCTGCTTCTGATGCCCTTGTTCGTATCTAGAAGCACTGACTCTGGGAGGCAGGCAGGGCTCCCTGTCAGCTCTCTTCCACCACCCCTCCACAGTCAGTGGGCTCTGGAGCCCACACATAGGCAGGGCTGGCGCCACCACCATCTCTCCCTGAGCCTCGGCTTATCTCCAAGGGCTGTGTATGGACCCAGAGTCCTATGAACGCTATGAGAATGCAGTCACCACCCCTCTCTTATTTCCTGCACTCACTGAATAGTGACAAGTACCGGATTCCATTCTGAATCTGAGAAAGTAAGAGGTGAGGGCTTCCTGGAGGAACCGTCTCCCTGCAGATACCCCAGTTGCCCTTGTGGTCTGCAGTGCCCGAGCCAGTGCCTCGTCCCACATGACGGCTACACGGCAAACATCGACATCGTCACCAACAATGGACCCTGTATCCTGCTGCCTATCGACTGCCCCCAACGCTCAGGGACCCCTTACCGCCACTCCCACTTGTGCGTTGTATTTCACCGGCTGTAGCCTTAGGGTGGACCCAACTCTGTGACCACCCAGTTACTGCACCAGGATGGCCCTTTATTTCTAGTGTTCTTACTGACGCTCTGAGGGGTAGCTCAGCTGCCCGTGGGCCTCCATTTCCATCAACAGTCTCAAGTTGTGGATACCCGAGTTGTTTCTGTTTTGGTTCTACCATGAGATCTCTTAAGTTCCTGAGAAAAGTATCAATGGACAAGTTCCAGCTCTGTTGTACAAACTTATCTCCTAAACCTGGGTACCCCTGGTCTAGAATGTTCCCTAACCAACAGAGAATCCAGAAACCAGCAAACCACCAAACTCCCTTAACCGAAACCACAGGAGCTGAGCAGACACTCTGCACGTCCACCCTCCGTCTGGCTGTCTCACCATTATCGTTAAGTTTTTGTGGTGTCAGCACATATGCGGGGCGCTAACTGGCTTCGCTGATAATTGGTAGTGATGTGCTTTATTAGGTAAAGAAGCTGTCAGGCCAAGAAAGTAGCTCCTTATTAACTGATGAGAGAACCCCCTCCCTCAGAGAGGAAAGCTCCTGGTGTAGCATGCCAAGTCTCAAGGGGACTTGACTTAAAAGGCCCATCTGTTACTGCATTCCTTGGGTTTAAGCTCATTGACTCCAATGGGGTGAGACAGGAAAAGTGGGTGAGTCAGGTGGGCTAGGTGCAGGGAGCAATGGGGACGCTGGAGAGCCGGGAGCACAGGACCTTCCGGAGAACAGGCAGCCGCTGCTCCGCTCCAGCCAACCGTTCATCAGGGAGAGGCCCAGTCTGGCCGTAGCTTCTAACTCTGAGAAGAAGCTACTTTTCATATATAGACAACCAATTCAACACTTTTAAAAAACACACTCTGGCCAAAACCACACTCATCTGTAGTGCACATCTGGCCGGCAAGCCGTACCCTTTGCTCCGGTGACTTCAGGTGCCTTAAAGCTCACTCACCTGGACGTAGTCAGTGAAGGCCCTGGTGCGCCCGCCTCCTATGGTCTCAAAGGCGGAGAACCGCTTGCTCAGCACCATCCTGTCAACCCCAAAACAGCCTGTGGCTGCAATGGCCCTCTGGATCTCCAAGGCGGCAACCACGTCTTCTGGTTTGTACCCAGACAGCGCCATCAGGTGGACAAACTCCTCCAAGCTGTTTTCCTGGGTGTTTATCACTCTGGTTAAAGTGTCAGGCAGGCAGGAGATCCCCACTGCCAGCTCTTCCAGAGAAGGGTCTGCAAAGATGAGGAGGAAGTTCAGAATCGTCCCAGACAGAAGCCTCCAAGGCACAAGCCATACGGAGGAAGGACACACTCCAGTGCCCACTCGCTGCTCCTCAGACATGGGGCTCAGCCGGGTGGACATGGCTGGCCCCCAGCACTCAGATTTCTGACACATGACCCTGGGTCCTTGACTGCAGGTGACTGGACTGGATTTATCCTATGCCAAATGATTCTCCTGCTTGAGAGGCTGGGTGCTAGGCCTGAGAACGAGGAACCAGAGTTCTGAAGGAGAGGCCCTCAACTCTGGTTGGCTGGTTCCCACCTTCCGTGCTCCTGTCTTCACGTCTCCTTAGACTGTGAGACAGCCAGATCGTTCCAATAAATCCCCACTTTTGCTTAAGACAGCCAGGGCTGGTTTCTGCTGCTTCCTGTAAAAACGCCTCTGCTAGGGTTATGATCCATAGCATGGCTCTGCCCCGTCCACACCCCAGACACAGCACAAACAGTTCATCACTGTGGTTACGGAACTGAGAGTAGATCCCATCAACTTCAACAATGTGAAAATGAAGGTAAGTTAACCAGAGGTAGGAAGGGAGCTACAGGGAGGGGCGGGGCTCTAGAAGCCTCACATGAAGTAGTGGGAACAGAGGCTGCCTAAAATGAAGGGCTTGGGAAACAGAGGTTTAACTACGTTACTGCATGTTTCAAAGGTAATCAGAAGAATTTTTAAGTGTAACAATTTGACTTGAGGAGGAAGGAGGTAAGCAATGTGAGCTGAATACTCATGCTTCAGGGCAAGCTGTCAAAGACAATGCTTAGAAGGTCCCCGAGTGTGTGAGCGAGCATCCGGAGGACTCAGCGGAAGAAGGGGAAAAGCAGCACAAGGGCGCCTCTGGGGAGAGGACCAGGCTTTCCTGGAAGGCCCTCTCAGCTTGACTTCTCAGCACCTACATGTATTACTTTGATCAGAAAAGAAAACAATGTGCAAGCTCTAAGGTGGGGGTGTGAGCACAGCCCTGTGGGGCCCGCAGCGGGTGGTCACTGGGGCAGGGGTCGTAAGGGCAGGTGCTCCCCAGGCTGACTGCCAAGGTGGGGAGGTGCTTTTTCTGTTTTAGCATCACTGTCATGACCTCTTCGCTGACCTGCGGAGCCTGGAGGGGGCATCACAGGCTGGGTCACAGGGCAGGAACGAGCACTGCTGTGGTGACCAGTCAGCTCCCGCCCCGAAGCTCCAGCTGGGAAGGACTTACCGGCGGGCCCCAGGCTGAAAGGCCCGGGGGTGCAGCGGAGCCGGAACTTCATCTGGCAGGAGTTCACCACGATGTTGTCGTTGGGGTTGAGGTTGCGGTTGCTTACGATGCCAGGGACGTAGCAGCCCCTCATGAGCAGGTAGTTGGTGTGGGAGGCCTGGTGGGCTTTCACCTCGATGCTCCGGCGTCTGCTTCCTGAGCCTTCGTCCAAGTCATCCTCTTCGTCCTCGTCGTCCTCCAAGCTCCCGTCCTTTCCCAGGCTGTGAGGAGAGAAGGGAGGCGCAGCTGACGGACCACAGCCCCCACGGTGCTCTAGCTGCGCTTTCTGGGGATACCGGCTCCCTCCGAGAGGGGTCCTCTGTAACCTGGCCTTGCCAACAGCCAGCGAGGGCTGTGGGTACCCCACTGGGGTCTGCTGTGCTCTGGCTCCCCAGAAGGTTCAGCGTGGGCACTGTTCCAGTTTCATCTCCTTTATTCCACCTTGCCACATATACACCCCCCAACCCCTTTGCGTTCTGCTGTGCACGGGGTCGCTATGAGTCGGAAACGACTCGATGGCACTTAACAACAACAACAACAACAACAACCCCTTCCACATCTGTATCTTTGCAAGAGCTATTCCTGTTGTCTAGAAAATCCATCCTATGCCTCTGTCCAAAAAATGCCTGTTTCCATTAAGTCCCAGGTCAGCTATTATGCCCTCTTCTTACTCTTCTGTGACAGTTAATGTTTTGTGTCAACTTGATTAGGCCATGATTCTTAGTGTTATGTAATTATCCCCATTTTGTGATCTGAGGAAAGGAGCATTTCCTTGGGGGTTTGGCCTGCATCCAACATATATGGATGGTCAGGCAAAGTTCACTCACTCTCTGTCTTGCATCCAACTTGCCATCCTGGGAGAGCCAGCAGCCTGCAGGCTGAGCTGCGGATTTTGGGATTTGTCAGTTCCCATACCCATGAGCAGCCCCTTCCTACATGACCTGTTGATTTAGGTTCATCAGCCTCTCCAACCACGTGAGCCAGGAAAAGCCTTCAGCCTGTGGTTCCTGCCAGCCTCTCCAACTGTGTGAGCCATTTCCTAAAACAAATTCCTCTCTATTTCATTTGTTTTGCTCTTCTACAGAACCCAGCCTAAGACATTTGGTACCAAGAATGGTTGTAGAGGAACAAAACCTTACAGATGAGTTTTCTGAATTGGTTCTTTAGTCTGACTAGACTTAAATACATGGATGACTCCAATTCCACTAGGGAAGGGGGCACTATTAATCCACGGTGTGAGGAGGCAGTAGAAATACATAAAATGCCACCACCATTGCATCAAATATTTGTGAGAATCAAGGCTCCGGGGGACTGTGTATTTGATACCTTCCAGCGTTTCTGTCAAACTGAGAAGGACAGAGAGGTGGTGGGTCAGTCCCACTTTCACGAAACAAAGTAGTGAAAAGGATGAGCCAGAACTTCAGAGTCCCAGCTCATGTGAGACCCGAACGCTGCTACTTGTGCCCTGAAAGAAAGCCATTATTTCTTGTAGTAACAAGCTGATTCTGCCAAAAACCAAACCCAGAGGCATACTGTAAGAATGGCTGAATTACAAAAACCCAAAAACTCACTGCTATCGAGTGGATTCTGACTCACAGCAACCCCCAATGGGTTTCCGAGGCTGAAAATCTTTACAGAAGGAGACTGCCCCATCTCCCTTCCATAGAGCGGCTGGGTTTGAATGTCTTATAAGACATTGCTGAATGTCCCAAGGACCCACCCCCACTACTCATTTTTGCTTCTAGGCTTATAACTAGATATAAGTGCCATCAAGACCTACTAAGGAAGTATTAATGACTCCAGACTTATTGGTAAAACATTTACATGCTACAGGGTGCGGAATTAACCTGACAAACATTCAGGTATCTTTCCCCTCAGCCAAATTTCTAGGGATCCAGTGATGTGGGGCATGTTGATATTTCTTCTAAAGTGACGGTTAAGTTTGTTACATTTGACCCCTCCTACAACTGGAAAAAGAGGCATGACACCTGGTGGGCCTCTTTGGATTTTGGAGGTGACATATCCTTCATTTGGGTGTGCTACTCTGGCCTACATATCAAGTGACTTGAAAAGTGGCTAGTTTTAAGGAGGGCCGAGAACAACAGAAGGCTCTGCAACAGGTTTAGGCTGCCATGTAAGCCACTCTGCCACTTGGGCCATATGATCTGGCTGATACAATGGTGCTTGAAGTGTCAGTGGCTATTTGGAGTATTTGGCAGGCTCTTATTGGTGCATCACAGCACAGATCCTTAGGATTTTGGAGCAAAGCCCTGCCATCCTCTACAGGTAACTACTCTCCTTTTGAAAAACAGCTTCTGGTTGTCACTGAGCCTTAGTAGAAACTGAACACTTAACCATGTGGCCTGAGCAGCCCATTGTGAACTGGGATGCTGTCTGATCCACAGTCATGTAGTCGGATGTGCACAGCAACACTCCATCATTAAATGAAAGTGGTACATACGAGACCAGGCTCAAGTAAGACTTGAAGGTACAAGTAAGTTACATAAAGAAGTTACCCAAACGTCCATGGTGACTCTTATCACATTACCTCCTAGTTTGCATCTGTCGTCTATCTCATGGAGAGTTCCTTATGGTCAGTTTATTGAGGAAGAGAAAACTCATGCCTGGTTCACACATGGTTCTGCGTGATACACAGACACCACTTGGAAGAGGGCAGTGGCAGCCCTGTAGCCCCTTCCAGGATCTGGGGGGAGACAGCCCTGGTTCCACTGAACTGGAAGTCAACAATGCCACCCAGCCACTTTGAGTTCCTCATGCCTCTCGATCAACAGACAAAGAATGGAGTTACAATACTGGCTGATGTGACTGATTCTGATTATCAAGTGGAAACTGGACTGAGATTACATGATGGAGGTAAGAAGACTATGTCTGGAATATAGGAGATCCCTTAGGTTATTTCTTAGTGCTACCATGCTCTGTAGCATAATGGCTAAAGCACTTGACTGCTAACCAGAAGGCTGGCAGTTCAAACCCACCAGCCACTCCTCGGAAGGAAGGTCGGGCAATCCTACTTCCGTAGTGATACTGCTTCGGAAACCCAAGGAGGGGTAGCTATGAGTCGGGGCCGACGGCACATAACAACAATAACAACAACAACAACCACCACCACCACTACCATGCCCTGTGATTAAAGTCAATGGAAAATACAGCAGCCCATTTCCAACATGATTACTAAGAGCCCAGATCTGGTCTGAGTCAGTCCACCAGGCAGAAATTCACAACCAGCTGAGGTGCTTGCTAAGGGCAATGGGTGGTGGAAGAAGGCAGTTCTAAATACCAGCTATACCACATGTTCCAGAAACAAGGGCTGTGGTTGTTATGAGCATTTCTCCCTTGTATCTCGATATAAACAGCTCTGGTGGTGCAGTGGCTAAGGCATTCAGCTGCTAACCAAAAGGTCGGCGGTTCAAACCCACCAGCTGTTCCATGGGAGAAAGATCTGGCTGGCAGTCTGCTTCCATAAAGATTTAGAGCCTTGGAAAGCCTATGGGGCAGAACTGACTTGATGGCAGAGGGATTATCTACCTGTGTAACTGTAAACATCTCACCACAAGTCATCTGTCAGTTGTCACACTGGCATGGCTTTTGTGTTTCTGTCAGGCTGGAAACCGTGCTACCAGTATTTCAAGCAGCAGCACAGACACCCATGGTGGACAGGTTCCAGCAGAGCTTCAGACTAAGGCAGACCAGAAAGGAGCACCTGGCCATCTACTTAAAGGAATGGCCACTGAAACCTTGTGAACAGCAGTGGGCCATGGGTACAGTCCCAGAAGACAAGCCCTCAGGTGGGATGGCACTCAGCACAGGACTGGGGAAGAGTCATCTCCTCAGAGTAGTCAACCTCAACGGTGCAGATGGAGTACAGCTTCCAGGACCTTCATTTGCTGATGTGCATGACTCAAAAATGAGGCATATAGCTACAAACATCCACTAATAATCAGAACAGGGAATATTACAGAGCATGAATCTAGGAAAATTGGAAGGTGTCAGAAATGAAATGGAATGCACAAAGATTGACGTCCTAGGCATTACTGAGCTGGAAGGGACTGGTACTGGCCATTTTGAGTTGACAATTATATGGTCTACTATGCTAGCAATGATAAACTGAAGAGGAACGGCATTGCATACATCATCAAAAAGAACATTTCAAGATCTATACTGAAGTACAACACTGTTAATGATAGGATAATATCAATATGCCTACATGGAAAACCAGTTAATATGACTAGTATTCAAATTTCGCTACCAACCACTAATGCAAAGATGAGGAAACTGAAGATTTTCCCCACCTTCTGCAATCTGAAACAAGCCATCAAGATGCACTGGAAATTACTGGTGATTGGAATGTTAAAGCTGGCAACAAAGAAGGATTGGTAGCTGAAAACATGGCCTTGTCACCAAGAGAGTTAGAAACAACGCTAGAGATCACATGACAGAATGTTACAAGACTAATGACTTATTCATTGCAAATACCCTTTTCAACAATATAAAAAGTGACCATACACATGAAGCTTGCCAGATGGAATCCACAGGAATCAAATCAACTACACATCCATAAAGAGATGACGGAAGAACTCAAAATCATCACTCAGAACAAGGCTGGGGGCTGACTGCAGAACGGACCATCAACTGCTCATATGCAAGTTCAAGTTGAAGAAAATTCCACAATCCACAAGAACCGAAAAACAACCTTGATTACATCCCACCTGAATTTAGAGGCCATCTCCAGAACAGATTTGAGCATGGAATACTCTCACAGTCAAAGACCAGATGAGTTGTGGGATGACATCAAGGACATGATACAAGAAAGCAAAAGATCATTAAAAAAAAGAGAAGAACGAGTTGCAATGTTGAAGGATTCCACGGGCAAGACATCAAATGATGCAGAAAGCATCAAGTGACAACAGAAGGAATACATAGAGTTACTGTATAAAAAGGACTGGCTGACATTCAACCATTTCAGGAAGTAGCATATGATCAAATGGTAACTGTGGTGGTTATGTCTGTGTGTCAGCTTGGCTGGGCCTGGTTCAGTGGCTGGGCAACTGGTGGTAGGTATTCCCTAGGATGAGGCTGGCAATCAACTCCATAGTGGGATCTACCACAAGCAGCTGAGTAGCTGTCTTTAGGATGTGGTCTGCTTCCTGTGTATAAGGACAAGCCTTGGGGATAGTCTCCAGCTTATGGCACACTTGGACCC